AGCCACTCCCACAAAGGAGGCCACACCCACAGAGTAGGTTCAAACAATTTTTGAAACTCACCACTGGACTGAAACCTGGGTTTGGCCTGCTTTTGATCTAGGATCATTGCTTCAGCATTAAGACAGCCTTTGAATGAAGTCCACAATTGGCCTAAATGACTTCAGCAGCGTAAACCGAAATCCTGTTTTGTCCAGAACGAGGAGCATTCAACCATCACTGTCAACTTTACGGGAAGCAAGCTCAGATCCTCCGTGGCTATCTATTTCAGGGTGCTTCCTTGAATCCTCTGCAGGGCAGTTCAGTTCTGAGCAGGAACATAGTTGCAACAGTAATTCCGAATTAGCAAGAACGGAAGAAAGAGAAACAAGAAACCAAGCTGATTAAAGCAAGACTAATAATGGGATTTGCATTTGCAGTTGAAATCTTCCGGGAGAAGAGAACGAACTGAGAAACCAACCAACCAAAAATGAGACACAAAGCTTATTTGTTTTTGTTTTATTTAAAGATATGTCAAAATGTAAAAGAGGCAGAGAAAATGCTTGGAAGAGGCACCAGATCCTTCCAGGCTGCAGGCTAGACAAGTGACAGTGGAACAGATCCCTCTTTTAAAGTGTGTGTGTGTGTGTGTGTGTGTGTGTGTGTGTGTATCAGTGTATGTATATATGTATATAATTTTAGAAAGGGATGACGCGGTGGCTCAGTGACTAAGGTGCTGAGCTTGTCAATCAGAAAGGTCAGCATTACAGCCATTCGAATCTCTAGCGCCGCGTAACAGAGTGAGCTCTCTTTATTTGTCCCAGCTTCTGCCAACCTAGCAGGTAAATATGCAAGTAGAAAAATAGAGAACACCTTTGGTGGGAAGGGAACAGTGTTCCGTGTGCCTTCGGCATTTAGTCATGCCGGCCAAATGACCATGGAGACATCTTCGGACAGCGCTGGCTCTTTGGCTTTGAAATGTAGATGAGCACCGCCCCCCTAGAGTTGGGAACAACTAGCACATTGCATGTGCAAGGGGAGCCGATATAATTTTAAAAGAGGGCAGTGAATGTACATATTGAAACTGGGAGAACTTTGGGAGATAAAGCCATTCCACTGGTTAATTGTTCTTACGTGTTAGGCAATTTCTCCTTATTCTAGTTTGGATCGCTATTAAATATGTTTTTTCCTCATTATTTCTTATCCTGCCCTTAGGAGCTTTGGAGAATAGCTTGACTTCCTCTTCTTTGTGGCAGCCCCTCAGATATTGGAACACTGCTGTCATGTTACTCCTAGTCTTTCTCTTTGTTAGTCTAGACCAGTGTTTCTCAACCTTGGCAACTTGAAGATGTCCGGACTTCAACTCCCAGCATTCGCTGGCTGGGGAATTCTGGGAGTTGAAGTCCGGACATCTTCAAGTTGCCAAGGTTGAGAAACACTGGTCTAGACCCCTGATGGCGAATCTATAGCATGTTGCCACAGGTGGCACATGGAGCCCTCTATGCGGGCACACGAGCCGTCACACAGCTTAGCTCCACTGCGCATTCGCACCTCCTGCTAGCCAACTGATTGTGTCTCTGCCACGCGTACAGGAGACTTGTGTACATGTGCAAGGGATGGGGGGACTTATGCGCACATGTGCAGGGGCATGATTAGCCATCATGGACTAGACATTCCTTATTCCCTCAACAGTTCTTCCTATGTTGTAGCCTCCAGTCCTCTAATCATCTTTGTTGCTCTTCTCTGCACTTTTTCTAGAGTCTCCACATCACAACATCTTTCTAGAGTCTCAACACCTTGGACTATAACTCCCAGAATTCTCAGCAAAAGTCATGCTACTGAGGAAATATGGGAGTTAAAGCCCCCAATTGCAGAATGCCTAGTTTAAGAATGATATTCTTGGAATTTTAAAAAGGTGGTGAGATCCAAGAAGCATAACAGCTCCCAGATCTTACAGACAGAAGATTGTGTTCCACCAGAGGACAATGTGGTTAGCGTGCCTCTTTTTTCTTCAGCCTTTACACTGGACTAGACAAACCCAATTCCTGCAACCATTCTTCCTATGTTTTAGCCTCCAGTCCCCTAATCCTCTTTGCTGCTTTTCTCTGCACTCTTTCTAGAGTCTCCACATCTTTTTTGTATCGTAGTGACCAGAACTGGATGCAGTATCCTAAGTGTGGCTTTACAAATGCAGCATAAAGTGAAATTATCACTTCTCATGATCTCGATGTTCTCTTTCTGATATTGATGTAATCCAAAATCTTGTCCATGCTACCAAATTGGGATATAAATGTCCTAAGCCAGATTCATTTAGCGACTGTGTTCCTACCTTAACAACTGCCGTGATTCACTTAGCAACTGTTGGTAAGACAGGTTGTAAAATGGGGCAAAGCTCACTTAACAACTACTTCACTTAGGGAGAGAGTTTTGGTTTCAATCATAAGTCAAGGACTACCTGTATAAGATTTCCCACACTGTCATCAGATTTCAAAGTATTGCACAGATTCTCAGTCATCCAGGTCATGGTTGTCCCAAAGGTGCTTTTTAAAGAGGCAACTGGACTTTCTTCTTTGAAGATGTTTCACTTCTCATCCAAGAAGCTTCTTCAGCTCTGAATGGATGGTGGTGAAAACAAGACAAAGAGAAACAAGGAAGTCCATTTGCCTCTTGAAAAAGCACCTTTGAGTACAGGCTCCAATACAGGCCGGGGCATAACCTTTTCCTAGGGGGTCACAGCAAGATCGACAGCAGTTTACAACTTCCGCGACACCTCATTTTAAAGCCCNTCCGGACATCTTCAAGTTGCCAAGGTTGAGAAACACTGCCTTAGAGAATGACAAATAAACACGGATTTTTAAAAAGTCATCCCAGACTTTCAGATTCATATCTGAAAATCTGTGACATTAGTATGGATGCTTTTTACAGAAACCTGCTCCAGATGGATGAGTAACAAAGGATTTCATTTAGAACAAAAGAAACTTTTTTTTTTCAAAGAAAATGCCGCAAATGTTAATTGTTGCCTGGGCCAAAAGAAATGAAGGATGATGTACCAAGACTTTAAGTTGTTTTATATAAATTCAGAGTAGTATTTTTTATCTTTACTTATCCAGGTGACTTATCTCATCAGGAAAAGGCGAGCCAGACATAGTAATCATTTAGAATGATTTTAGATGTATTAAGGAACAGGGAACAGGAGCCATTCTCATGAGGATAACAGTATGGCAGAAAGAGACTGTGCGGTTTAAGAGCAGTTGCTATCAAGGACAAGTGCAGCAGGAGTCAAGAACATCAACAATGTAATAAAATTGCTATAGATACTAAATGAGTGAGTGAATTAATGAATAAAAATATTTTTTTTCAAAAAGCATGATGGATATAACAGAGCAACTAAAACCTTCCCCTTTTAAATATGCAAAAGTTATAGAAAGGGGTGGGGCTTTGATCACCTCTGCCATTTTAATGATTCCCTCCACAGATGTCCCTGATTCTTATTGCTGAGTTTGTGGGACTAAGAGTGGGATTTTATGTTAAAAATTGGCTCTGAAAATTAGGCAACAAGGAGTTTGCATGAAGTGGAAAAGCCCTGTTCTGTACTGTAGTACTTTATAAAACTCTTTCTTAAAGTCTTTGGACTTGCCTTATTGTTTTATTCTCCATTTTGCCTACACTCCAAGCCTGCATCCGTTTTTTATTTCCTAACCAGGACTCATTCCATTATTTCAAGGAAATAATGGATTGATAATAACATGTGCAAAGCTATGGAGTGAAATTCAGGTATAATATCACCAGGAAACACAATCTTTGAATAGGAAACACAGGAGTTCTCACCTTTCAGCATATCAGGAGATGGAGGGACACAGCCAGAGCTGGAAAACTGTGAAAGTAAGAAACATACAGGTATAAAGAAAAACCACCCTACAAAGTTTATATACCTAGGTAAGCTACTATAACTTCCAGACCCATTCTCCCAACTTGAAAAAATACCTTATGTATTTTCCCTCTACTTGAAATTGAGATGTTACCTTTTGAAGTTGCTTTTGCAGGTGGAAGATCTGAAACATTGCCAGCCCGATCCCCGTGATGGCAAGTAGAATCAGCAAAAATACCACCAGGAAACAAAGGCGTGTACCATCTCTGTGATTCTGCCTATGCCTTTTCCTCGCTGGTACAGGCAATGGTAAGCAAATGTCCTGATCTGCCACAATTCCACTGGAATGGTACAGTCCCGTTTGAGGAGCACAGTCTGAGCTGTTATTTGTCCAGAAGATCTGGGGATAACCACAATACTGATTGTGTTGCATGACTGAAAGATGCATAAATCGAGTCTCTGGGTTCCTTTTTCACTGCTGCTCAGATAATTTTAGATACCATGTCATCAGAATGCTCTCTTCCTGCACTGTATCTCCACTCAGCAACTGCACCCAAAGCTGAAAAAACTTGGGGTTGACTGCTGAAAACCTCACACAGCTTCCGCCCACTGTTGTGATGCTAGATAATCGCGTGCACAAGGAGGTGCTTTGAAGTTGCCTCAAAACCACCCTCAAGAGGTATTACCCCTAAAATAAACTTAATATAATTTTTTTGTTCATCTGGTCCCACCAAATTTTCATAACTCTACTTATTGTGAGCCTTCCAAGAATTATGTGGAGTAAGACTAGAGTAAGGTTGCCAATTGTAGGGAGATTTGTAACACAAAGGACCAGAAGGAACTTTACATGCAGCTTAATTTTAACAATTCTACATATACCAAAAATTCAGTACAGTACCCACATCATAAGGGCAGTTGTATGAACTATTTAACTGAATTACTTTTGTTCATAGATTTTGGATGATAATCAAAAGGAAATTAGATTTTAACAGCCTGCCACAATATTCTTATGGAAACTTGAATGAGTAAGTGGGCAAGACACATGGGCTCCCAGGGTTCTGATGATATGTGATGACAGAATAGTTCCTGGGTCCTGGGGCAGTATCACCTTGATAGTTAGTTGCATAAATAACAAGCTGGTGAAGAAGACTCATCAATCTACTTTTGTGCAGTTTCAGTGGATTCATACTAACTACAAGAAGTGGTGGGTGTATTTTAAGTTTCACTTGAGATTTCCATTGCATTAAAAGTGGACTAGACCATTGGATGGAAAAAGCCATGTTTCATATTTTAGACAGAATACAGTGGTTATAATCAGCAGGCTACACATCTTCTGCAGAGATGGTATTCAGCAGGTTTTGTCTAGTTCTGGAGAACTGGTAGTGGAAATCTTAAGTAGTTTGGAGAACCGGTAAATATCACCCCTGACTGGCCCCATCCCCATCTATTCTCTGCCTCCCAAGTTCCGGCTGATTGGCAGGAAATAGGGATTTTGCAGTAACCTTACTCTGGAGTGGGGTGGAAACGGAAATTTTACAGTATCCTTCCCCTGTCACACCCTCTAAGCAATGCCATGCCCACCAAGCCACTCCCACAGAACTGGTAGTAAAAAAAATTGAATCCCACCACTGATCTTCTTGTTGACCTAATAATTGTTTACTCAGTTTGGTTAGATTTGTGTGATGCATTATAAGTAACTGCAGGGACTGGTAGAGCTAAAATGAGATTGACTACACCAATCTCAAGTGGTTTGGTGTGTCATATAA